TATAATGTGCTTCAGAAGATTAACTTTCTAGATTTTTAGATTGCTACAATTTTAGAACATATACCCAGATACATTTATGTACATGCATATGAACCCAAATGTCCTTACAGCTAACACAATATTAGACATTATAGACAGTTTAGGAAAAAAGGAATGTGTATGCATATAGGTCTTAGTTCCTGCCAACATATCATTTATCTAGCTCAGAGAGTGACAAAGTACAGCCCTCAGGCTAAATTCAGCCCTCTATCTGTTTCATAAATAAAGTTTTATTTTAACACAGTCACACCTCTTCATTGTTTTATTGCCGTTTTTGTGTTACAGTAGCAGAGGTGAATAATCACTATGGAGAACATAAAGCCTGCAGAAGTCCAAATATCTACTATCTGTCCTTTAACAGGAAAAGCTTACCAACCACTGGTTTAGCTAGAAAGAACAACAAATACTAATACAAATATATGAAAAAATGTCACGAACTAGAAAAATAGGACAGCAACCAATAAATTCTCTAATTGATGTAAAAGCAATAATTATAAACAATATTTCATGATGAAGAAATCAGCATTAGCTGGCTTCATTTGAAAATGATTCATGGCAGAAAGATGAATTGAGCTGGGTCATGAAGAAAGGTTAATGAAAAGATACTGATGGTGAAATTCTAGGGGAAGAAAACTACACCATGTGGAGGTGGAAAGGAATAAACTATGGATATTCAGGGAATAATGAGGAATACATTCTAGTGTGTACATAATGTGTATGCAGAAAAAAAGTGGTAGATGAGGCTTGGAAGATAGATTTGTGTTTAGAGAGGTCAGTATATTTGGGGAAATATCACAGAGTACCAGTTATATAGCATAGCAATCATTCAAGGTGAAGAAATTAATTTGGAAATATGTTGAAAGAGTAGAGGTAAAAAGAAAGGAAACACATGTTAGAGAAAATCTGTACAATACTTGAGAAATGATTAAATATGGCAGTGAAAAATAAATGAAAAGAATGCTTTGGAGTAAAAATTTTGTTTGTGTGGAAGATTGAAGACTTCTGTTCTGTTTTTTGTTTGTTTGCTTTTTGAGGCAGCCTTATTCTGTGGCCCAGGCTAAAGTAGAGTGATGTGATTAGAGTTCACTGCAGCTTCAAACTCCTGGGCTCAAGGAATCCTTCTTATATTGGCCTCCCAAAGCACTGGGATTACAGGTGTGAGCCACCACACCTGGCCTTGATGAATTCCTTAACAAAAATAAACAGAGAGTGAACTAGAATAAAGAGCTGGAAGGTAAATGGTAGTAGCAGGGAAGCCAGTCTGACTAGTGCTGAGGAGTCTTGGGGGAAATATTAATAGTAGGAGATCAGGCTGACACTTTGTGAGGTAGTCTGTGGGAAGTCTTTAAAAAAATTTTTTTTTTTTTTCAATGAAGATGGGACCTCCCTATGTTGCCCAGGCTGGTCTCTAACTTCTGGGCTTAAGTAATCCTCCCACTTCGGCCTCCCAAAGTGCTGGGATTATTGGCGTGAGCTACCATGCTTGGCCCAAATTTTTAAACAAAGGAGATATGATCAAGTTTGTGTTTTACAAAGATAACTATGCAATGCAGAGAGACTAGATATCAAAGATTGGTTAGGAGTTTAGTGCAACAATCCAGGCAGGAAAAGGAGAAAACCTAAATTGAGCCAGTGACCACAGAATTGAAGAGAACTGAGTACAGGGTTAGTGTACAGAACCTTAAGTACCTGGGCCTGAGAACTTTGTCTCATCCACCATTACATTGAAGCTTTTTTTCATAGTGTTATAAACAACTAGGTGCTTCATAATGTTTTATTTAACGCATAAATAAAAGGTAGGGGGGTATTACAGGTATCTAAGGTTTTATATTTCATCAGTTTGAGTTTAGACAATATGAGCTTTCAGTGAACCCAGTCTGCCCAGCTGTACTTACATTTCATCTGTTAAGATTTATTATAGCATGCCATTGATCAATGCGTTTTCCATCTTTTGGATACAAATAAATGGAATAGACTTGGTTTTGTAGAAGTTTACAGCCTCTGTAATCATACTGGATTTCCCAGTAGTAACTTTTAGAAAATAGCTACTTAATATCTAATTATAGTATTAGATATTATACTAAATTAGATTTAGATATTATACTAAATTAGATTTAGTATATTAGATATACTAAAAATATTTACAAAAACAGTCAGTGGACCAGATTTGTCTCATGGATTACTATCTGCTAATCCTGCTTTCTATCAAAATGTGAATATCATGAATGGTATTTTTAAATTTGGTAATTGGAATAGGTAGCTGTGTTCACACACTTGTTTGAAAGGAAACTTTGAAATAATACTGTTAAATCCTTTAAAGTGAGAAGAGATGAAAATGAAAAGTAAGAATTCTTTGTGGATTTTTCATGCTGTGAAGCATAAAATATTCTGAATTATACATTACAGTGTTATTAATAAGATATTGGGCTACAAAGTCAATGCATTTTTTTTAACTTTACTATGTACCAAGAAACTTAGTATCTTTGCTTTTAAAAAGTATATATCTTTTTTGTAATTATAGGGTGTTGAGAAGAGTTGATATGGTTCTGGCCTAAATATAATGATGTTCAAGGTGAAATTTAAGTATCTACCATTAGACTGTTATGGATTATGCTTTTAATTTTCCTGAGAAATAACATTTTCTATGCTAGTGTTTTTGAACAAACTTCTTCTTCCTTCTCTTCTCTTTTGCTCCTTTATTTTTTCTTTTTCCTTCCTCATTTTATTCTTTTTTTTAAGATGTGGAGAAATTTGAGTTTTCTCTTTCTGTCTACCTCACTGTATCTGACACTTAACACTACCTCTTATTTACTCCTTCTCCTATCCTGGAATATTTTTCTGCCTTTCCTTCCCACTTGCCTTCTTTCTTTACTAACTTGTGATTCCTTAGGGACTTCAATTATCATAACAGATAAAATTGAAAGATAATAAAGAACAAAATAAGTACTGCTTCCTCTGTGTGACAAGGAAATTGTACTAGAAATAAATCTCTAGAACAGTAGCTTCTACTCTTGTCTAATTTTTTTTGTTCTTAATTTTCTTAGGAGAATGAGTTTTTTGTGAATCTCATTTACCTTTATTTATTTATTGTTTTTAACAAATAAAAAGACAGTATTGCTTTTATCATCTTGTGAGAAAAGCTGCATTGAATATTTATAAAATTCAGTTGATTTCTTATATTCTCTACACTTTTATTATCTCTTCGATTTTTATTTGTGTTTTAAAACCCCACAGGATTTTATTGACTTTTGTAAGAGGGAGGGAAATACCTTTTCTCTATCCATCCCAGGTTCATGGCTGAGGTCTGTAACAAAAGGCCGATTAACAAGAGAAGTACTCAAACCTAATACAAATATTTTATGACACAGGAGCCTTCTGAGGAAATAAAGACCTGAAGAAATGGTTAAAATCTGGGTAGTTTTTTGCTAGGAGGTGTGATCTAATGGTAATAAACTTGAGGAAACTTGACAAGGCCTATTTATTCAGATTCTTTTCTGTGTCCCTGTATCTTCAGAGATAAGGACGTTTCTTTTTTCAAGGCTTAGGAAGGGCACCTCTAAGTGGAAGTTTTGTGACCTGCTTCAGAGAAGGTCAGAAAATCCCTTCTAGTTTTTATGATATGTTTCAGGAAAGAGGGATAGAGAGAAGGTCACAGAGACCTTCCTGCTTCTGTCATTTTTCATTGGGCTAAGGGGGCATATTTTGGGCATGTCTCAACCCTATACTACTTTGAGTAAGGGGACATGGTTGGAAGATACCACTCATGAGTTGAAAGCTAACATATCGATACTGGGGCTATAAGAATAACTCTTTCTGCTTTCAGTTTAGTAGGCTATTTCTAATGACCTTTTTCAACTAGATAGGCTCTATAAAAATAAGATTAAATATGCTAGTTATTGATCAATTGAAATTAAAATCTTATCGAAAAGACATGATGACAAAACAAGAAATATAAAATTCAAAGTGTCTCAAGACATTCGATTTCATCAGAGAATGACATTGACCTGCAAAATTTTATATTCTGTTCTAAATTTGAAAAATCATAACCTATTTTTATAAGGTAATTGAGTAAGTATGTATATGTGGAGCAATCCTTAGCCATGGAATCTGTTAATACAGAAAAAGTAATAAAGGAGTAGATGACTTAATCATGAGGGCAGACAGACATTTCTTCACATAGGCGCCTTTGAAGAACAGCACGTGTCTGAAGGAAAGGTATGAATGTAATAGCAGTTTCCTAGGGAAACCTTTAAAATGGTGTGCCAAGGCAAGAAGGGAATCTGCAAGGTTGGTTAAGAAAATAACATCTATTGGAACTTCCAATGTCTAGGTTATCGTCTTATTTGTATTAAACTCAATAATTTTTCCTGGTTACCCCTCAGGCTAAATTCGTAAAAAGTGTCTACTTTTGTTTTGTTTTTGAGACGGAGTCTCGCTCTGTCACCCAGACTGGAGTGCAGTGGTGCCATCTTGGCTAACGGCAACCTCCTCCTCCTGAGGTCAAGCGACTCTCCTGCCTCAGCCTCCCGAGTAGCTGGGACTACAGGCACGAGTCACCATGCCTGGTTAATTGTTTTGTATTTTCACTAAAGAAGGGGTTTCACTCCATTAGCCAGATGATGCCGATCTCCTGACCTCATGATCTGCCTGCCTCAGCCTCCCAAACTGCTGGGATTACAGGCGCGAGCCACTGCTCCCAGCCACTACTTCTAAGTAATAGAATGCTTGAATTCATCTTAGAGATATTTGACGGAGTTTTCTTAGTTATCTTTGAAATAATGTTTTTATTAATGTAATTGCTGTGTATGATTGTCTATTACTGTCATATTAATCACCCTACTAATGGGTTCTATGTAGGAAACTTTATTTTGAATCATTAGGTGAATAACCTCTGTCAACCTCAGAGGTTCCCTAATACATTCTTCCTTCTCCACTGTTCATACTTCACTGTGTAATTACAGCTCCCAATCCTTGTGAAGCTAATGACGGCAAAGGCCCCTGCTCTCACATGTGTCTGATCAATCACAATAGGAGTGCTGCATGTGCGTGCCCCCACTTGATGAAGCTTTCCTCAGACAAGAAGACCTGCTATGGTAAATTTCTTACAGTTCTAATAGAAAATAAAAACAAAATTGAATTCTCTCAAATTATATTAGCATTCAGATTTTACTCATAGTAAAGCAGAATGAGTTTTTTTTTTTTTTAATGTTTTCAAAAATATTTTAGGTGGTGCAAATTTCCAGCCACTGTTAATGATTCATCTGCTTTGGGGGAGACTGACACATTCCTTAAATATGTGATATGTTATACTTTGCTATTTATTACCTTATTCATTTTTTTTTCTTGCTACTTTCTTATTTGGTGTGTTAGCAGAACTTATCTCTGCAAAACAGGAAGCTTTGTAAGTGAAAGTGCACTATCAGAAAATGATGATGTAGGTAACCTTCATAACAAAGAGGTGCTTAACAGCTTTAATCTGCTCTTCTAAAGTAACTCTAGCATCAGTTGGTAGCGGATTATCAACTTGAAAGGGGAAAAAATGAAGTAAAATATGTAACTTAGAAAGATCTGTAAAAAAAACCCATGCATTAAACAATGCATTTAAACTAAAAAATATAAATTTTGTGAATAAAAATTTGTGCTTTTTATTAATCATTTTATTTATTTGCAAAACAATTACTTAACTTTAAGGACAGAAAAAAAATGTATTCACCAACATTCAAAAATCAGGAATTTAGATACATGTAGCTTTAATTTACACAGTAATAACATATCTCAACACCAAGAATCTGAAAGACGACAACAACCACCAAAACAGAATATCTGTAACTCCTATTTGTATTTGCTCTGATAGTTTATAAATGCAGTGCAAGGAAGGCATCTGTGGAAGTAAAAGTAATATAATGCCTCAAAAGGTTGGTTACTACAAATTTACAAGAAATTACACTAAAAGCATTATTTGAACCCTAATTTTTATGGACAAAACGTATACAAGATTTTTAATAGCAGTGTTTAATTTTATTTGATGACAGTATAGGAAAAATGTTCTTAGAGTCCCTCTAAAAGCCTATAATGCAATACAATATTATAATTATGTACGAAGAATAAATTTCATATTGGATACTAGTAGTTTACGTAGTTTGGCAACTTTTAAATTCTAAGGCCACTGAGAATTGATTACTGAGATTATGTAGGTGTTTCTAGCTAAAGAAAAATGATAATGTAATAATGCTAACTCATTTTACATTTGTTTCTATTAAATATCTTAATTTAAAATAGATACATTATTTCTGCATTGTTTCCATCAAAAATTGACTATGATTTTGGGGAGTTAATATGTGTTAAATCAAGTAATATTTTAGAATTTCTAGACTATTTCAAGCTTGTCAACTTCATAAGAGAAAAACAATTTCTATTTCTTTTCTAGAAATGAAAAAGTTTCTTCTTTATGCAAGACATTCGGAAATCAGAGGAGTGGATATTGACAATCCATATTTTAACTTTATCACGGCATTTACAGTCCCTGATATTGATGATGTTACTGTGATAGACTTCGATGCATCTGAGGAACGTTTATATTGGACAGACATTAAAACGCAAACTATCAAACGAGCTTTTATTAATGGAACTGGTTTAGAAACTGTTATTTCAAGAGGTAAAAGTTTGTACATTTTACAACTTAAAAATTTGTGTTATTCAATTTATAATAATCATAAGTCTTTTATATTCTTTCTCTATTATTCAACTCTATGCTGTTAACTGAAAGTTAGAATTGGTTAGAGATTTAATAATATGCTACCTCCTTACAATTGTAGAATTTTATAATTAAATTGCACAGAGTAGACTGATAATTAGAAATTTACTTTCATGTCAAGAAAAACTTCAGAACATCTCCTTAAAATTTAGAGTTCTCGACTGGATGTGGTGGCTCATGCCTGTAATCCCCGCATTTTGGGAGGCCAAGGCGGGTGGATCAGTTGAGGTCAGGAGTTCAAGACCAGCCTGACCAACATGGTGAAACCCCATCTCTACTAAAAATACAAAATTATCTGGGTGTGGTGGCACATGCTTATAATTCCAGCTACTTCAGCTACTTGGGAAGCTGAGGCAGGAGAATCACTTAAACCCGGGAGGTAGAGGTTTCAATGAACTAAGATCATGCCATTGTGCTCCAGCATGGGCAAAAAGAGCCCATGTCTCTCCAACATAATAAAACAAAATTTAAAAATTAAAAAAAAAAATTTAGATGTCTAAATAAACAGACTTAAAGGCTCTTTTTTTCTAATGGGGGAATAGTTATATTTGCATGGAGAAAATGTAGGATATTGGGAAGCATTGGTTTCTCTCTCTTACTTAAGCTTATAAACAACTTCCCTTTGCACATAGTTTTATAGAACCAGACTAAACAAATAAGACAGGAAAATGTTCTCAGATCTATTAATGGTTCCTATCTATTTCCTGACTCAGCAGTTTAAATTTTCAGTTCTAAGAGAATGTCATTCAACTAACCATTACAAAAAAAAAAAAAAAGGAGTAACTTTTCCCAATATAGGGAACATAGCTGAAGTGAGACATACATGTATATGTCATGGTTGAATTCTAAATTTTTAGCATTGAGTTATCCTAATATTTGCATAAAGTTTGGCATATTGTAATTTCTGGGTCAACTATTATTTTATTGAATGTGTCTTTATTGAGCACTGACTATTTGCCGTGACTGAAAAACCAAAGACAAAGTTTCTCATCAACCTAAACTTGGTAGAAGGATTTGGAGGGGGATGGAGAAAAGAGTAATCAGTAATTCATACAGAGGATCAAACACCTATGCTTTAAAGTCTGTTGCAAATTTAAAGTCAGACATATCTGGACAATGATAAGTATCATAATGAAGGTAATAGAAACTGCAGGTTTTATTCATAATCCTTTTTAATACTAGAAGGTTAGCTTGAGTACCATTAATAGATCTGAGACTATTTGACTACAGAAATAAGGTTGTATTTAAGCTAGCTCTTTACTCATCTCAGGTTAGCACTGTTAAAACAGTTTATTGAATAGTTTGCTTATACGTTTGTTCAAATATTTATTTTAAACTTTCTGACAAAGATGAGTCTTTATAAAAAAGCTAATGCAAATATTTCCTTTTTGTTCAGAATTTTTTACATGGGCAGAGCGATAATGTGGTTGGATAATCATTGTTAGACTAGATTCAAAATAAGAACAATGACTGATGAACTGTGATTAAATTCCTTGCAAGACCAAGTAAAGGACATTAGGTGTCTCCCAAAATTGACAAACAGTTAGGGGGTCTTCCCTCAAGAAATTCACCAAAGTCTAACAGAAAAATGTTCGAACACTTGGTTGTAAATATTTAATAGTACCCAAAAGGCTTTGTGAATTATATACAGCAAAAGACATTGTATCTTAAAAAAAATTAGGAGACAATTTTGTGTCTTTAATTATGAACTGGTATCTAGTAGTAATTTAGTGAGTTTATCTTTGAGAAAATTATCGAGTTACTTCTATTTAGCAGACTCTATTCACAATTCTCAACCAATATTTGAGCAAAAATATTTTTCACTAATAATAAATATACTCATTAGAAGCAATAATTGCACATTTAGTCATTTTGGAAAATATTGGAACATTTTTTTGCGTGTTTTGTTTTGAGATGGAGTCTTGCTCTGTCCCAGGCTGCAGTGCGGTGGCGTGATCTCATCCCACTGCAGCCTCTGCCTCCCAGGTTCAAGCGATTCTCCTGCCTCAGCCTCCCAAGTAGCTGAGATTACAGGCATGCACCACCTTGCCTGGCTAATTTTTGTATTTCAAGTAGAGATGGGGTTTCATATGTTGGCCAGGTTGGTCTCAAACTCCTGACATTGTGATTCACCCTCATCGGCCTCCCAAAGTGCTGGGATTCCAGGGGTGAGCCACTGGGCCCAGCCTGAACATTTTCTATATAGTAAGAAACTGAAGGAGAGCCAAGATAGACTGAATGATATGGAGCATGGAATGAGGGGATGTATCTGTACAAACTGAAAGATCTAAGGAAATACACACCAAATTATGTCAACCTTTGTAAGACAAGTTTTTAATGCTTACATTAATTCTGAAAATAATAGGAATTAAGGAAGTACTTCAGGGAGGGTGTGGCTACATGATGAGATTTGCCTTTGGAAGAGGCCACTTTACTGTGTTTAATAGAGAGTTCTAGTTGTTCTGGGTAGGTGAGCAGTGAACCCTGGGAGACAGGTTAGTTGGCTGTTACAGTGGCTCTAGTAAGAAATACTAGAAGCCTCAACTAGGATGGGGAAAACACAGATGGAGAAACATGAACAAATTGTAGAGATATTAAAGAGTAAGGACATAAAGGAACTTGACAATCAATTGGACATAAAGTTTGAGGAATAGGCATTGTCAAGGATGACTTCTTTTCTGACTTGCCCCACAGGCTGAATAATGTTACCTTTCAGTTTCTTCCAGAATGAAACTTTGTTAAAGACAGAGATATCTTTCTATTAGCACAAAGACTTGAGATGAGCTGTCGACAGTTTAGCTTCTGAACTCATCAAAAGATCTCAAATCCCACCAGTAATTGTACTTTATTTTATCCTTTCATCTTTTAGAAACTCCATGAATGACTCTGAAAGCCTGTGGGTCTCTGTATTTTCTCACTTAGCTGTCTTCTCTCTATTGAGCTTTATCTTGAGAGACTTTATTTTCTTATCTTCCTTAGTCTAAATCTAATGTGGCATCAGCTTCAAAAATTGGACCCCAAATAAATCTGTGCTTACATTTCCCATTACCTTCTTCCCAAGTGGGCCATTTTCTCCCTTGCCCTCCTTTCGTTTCCTTCATTTCCTTCCTTCCTTCCTTCCTTCCTTCCTTCCTTCCTTCCTTCCTTCCTTCCTTCCTTCCTTCCCTCCCTCCCTCCCTCTCTCCCTCCCTCCCTCCCTCTCTCCCTCCCTCCCTCCTTCTCTCCCTCCCTCCCTCTCTCCTTCTTTCCTTCTCTCCTTCCTTCCTTCCTTCCTTCCTTCCTTCCTTCCTTCCTTCATTCCTTCCTTCATTCCTTCCTTCCTTCTTTCTTTCTTTCTTTCTTTCTTTCTTTCTTTCTTTCTTTCTTTCTTTCTTTCTTTCTTTCTTTCTTCTTCTTTCTTTCTTTTCTTTCTTTCTTCTTTCTTACTTTTGTTGCCCAGGCAGCAGTGCAGTGCTGGTATCTCTGTTCACTGCAACCTCTGCCTCCCAGTTCAACCGATTCTATGGCCTCAGCCTCCGAAGTAGCTGGGATTAGAGGCACCTGCCACCCCGCCCAGCTAATTTTTTTGAGACAAACACTGTATATAGCTCCTTGGTTCAAGCTTTCATGAGGGGGTGTAGACATAATCTGCCAGCCTTTTCATTCTATGTGTCCTGAAACACTAAGCTGTTCCTAATTTATATATTGCCTACATGAGCTATTTGCTGTAAGTAGCTTAGAGCAAATAGTTTGAAAATAATTTTCATTACAAAACTCCAAGTTGAGAGCTATTTTCTCTCATCCCTTTGTAGATAGTATCCCACTATCTTTTGACTTCCCCTGTTGCTATTGAGAATCCCCTTGTTTGTCGAACTGTCATTCTTCTTTTGGTGATGTGTCTTGGCTCTCTAGTTGCTTACAAAATCTTTTCTTTTTCCTCATTATAATATTTGTATTTTGCTACCTGGAGTTGTCGTATCTTCTATGGGGTCCTGTCTTTCATCAGTCCAGGGGGAAGAAATCCTCAAACATTTTCTGTTTTCTCTAACCCAGTCTTTCTACTTCCTACTTTGAAAACTCTAATTTATATGTTGAACTCTAATAAATGTGTTGGACTATTCACTCTGTCTACCAATTCTATTTCTTTGTTTCTCTGTGCTCTGGTTAACTTCTTTTAATTTGTTTTGTAGTTTACTAGCTGAATTGTGTCTAAACTGCTGTTTGACACATCAAAAAATTGTTTTTTATATTGTATTTTTAATATCACAGGTTATTTTTGGTTCTCATTTATATCTCCCAAGAGAATCCTTTTTTTTTTTTTCCTTGAGACTGAATCTCTCACTGTGTCACCCAGGCTGTAGTGCAGTGGTGTGATCTCGGCTCACTGCAATCTCTGCCTCCTGGGTTCAAGCAATTCTCCTGCCTCAACCTCCTGAGTAGCTGGGACTATGAGCATGTGCCACCATGCCCAGCTAATTTTTTGGGTATTTTTAGTAGAGGCAGGGTTTCACAATGTTGGCAAGGATGGTCTCTATCTCCTGACCTCTTGATCCACCCGCCTCAGCCTCCCCAAATGCTGGGATTACAGGTGTGAGCCATTGTGCCCAGCTCGAGAATCTTTTAAAAGAAATCATTGCACTTCGCTTATTGCTCAAAGCATCATTTAATCTGTTAAGATATTCCACCTTGGCTGGGTGTGGTGGCTCATGCCTATAATCCTAGCACCTTGGGAAGCTGAGGTGGGCCGATCACCTGAGGTTAGGAGTTTGAGACTAGCCTGACCAACATGGAGAAACCCCATCTCTACTAAAAATACAAAATTAGCCATGCATGGTGGCACATGCCAGTAATCCCAGCTACTCGGGAGGCTGAGGCAGGATAATTGCTTGAACTCGGGAGGTGGAGATTGCGGTGAGATTGTGCCATTGTACTCCAGCCTGGGCAACAATAGCAAAATTCTGTCTCAAAAAAAATAAAGAAAGAAAAAGATTTTTCACCTTATCTTTATCCTGCATATAATAATATATGAATATGTAGATTTTGGAGGTTCAAACCTTTTGTTTATTTTTCCTTTATATCCTTTATATTTTTCCTGTTCTCTTATATCTCATTTATTTGTGTGTGTTTTAATGATTTTTGTTCTGTTATGAGGATGAACTTAATGGGAAGTGTGAGTCTTCAGCTGAAGAAATTTTTTATTTCACAGAAGACTTGAATTTTTTTATTGATAGAAAGGAAGACACTATAAACCAGGAATCAATTTAATTTTATTTTTCCCATTTTTTGGTTTTGCAGTTATGGCAAACAGTACATGCTGAATGAAGATTAACTCAATAAAATAATAACTGACCTAGAAATCCCCAGTGGATTTCTCGTGGCTAGTAATCTTTACTAGCACAGCGGAGTGCTTATACATAAGCTAGTAGTCTATAGGAGCACAGTGGACACCTGTTCTTAGGAATTCAGGTCATTTCTTTTCCCCCAGAGGAAGGACCAAAAAAAAAATGTTTTGTTTTTATTCTTTAATTGTTCTCCTTTATAAGCAGGTAAATATTTTCTCATACTCATCAGTCACTAGGGTGTGTCTATGCCCTTACCAATACCCAGCGGATCACTCTTATTTAGCTCACCCATTCTTTGTAAGTTTAAGGATTAAACCCTCTTACATTGAGTAATTCATATTCCATGAAGCTCTCAATTCTCAGGACAAGTGTTTGTCTCTATGATTGCACCAGTTTCTATATTCCCATTTGTCTTCGTTGATAGTTTTAGCTAATGTAGGAATGTGTGTGTTAGCATGTTGAGTTTTTCCTGACTGTCTTATGATCTCAACAGTTCATTTGAAAGTTATAATTTATCATGCTTCAGTTTTGTGGCAATAAAGGGCTTTTCAGAATATACTTTATGATTAGTCTTAGTTGAAGAAATGAGAGATCCCAGAACTGGAAAATTTAACTCTCTGAGAAATTTAATCGGAGGTCTTGTGCTGATTTACTTGAAAACAAAAGAGCTAGACTTCATTATGTCAATATTTTTATCAAAAGAGAAAAATATTATTAAATATATAACAATTTTTATTTTTCCTCCATATGCTTATGATTAGTTTGCCAGAACATTCTGCAACAACCAGATGTAGGAATTGGTGATTGATAGACAAAAAACAAGAGTATTCTTTTAGACTTAAAGATGATAATTAGAAAGAGTAATCTAGAGGGAAGAAAAATGGTAACAATAAAAAATTCTAATTATGGTTGCCTGAGTATATATTTAAATACATACTCCTCAACATAAACATATTTGACTTTTTAAGCTCAGTTCATATACTCTTAAAATTTTAGATTGTATAGTTCATGAATTTATTCATGAATTCATTAAAAATGTTAATGTTAAAGGCAATGTTGTATACAACTGGGGAGAGGGACCAAAAAGACAAATTAGCAAGAAACCTATCCTCAAAACACATATGTGAAAGTAGTTATATACCAGCAAAGTAATGATCACATTAGGTAAAAAGAGATAGAACAGCTACAGTTCTATTGAGTTAGGCAGATAGAGAAACTCTTTCCATCTGGGATGTACAAAAGACATGATTAGTTTTTTTTGTGATTAAAGGGATGACTTTCTTGATCAGCTGGCCTATTATGAATGAGATTCAGGCAAGTGGAGATGGGGTTAGGGTATGAAATCTAAACAGTTTTCCTACAGTGTGGAAAGATGAGGACATATCTAGAAAGCTGAAAACATATTTATACAGTTTAAGTATAAAGTATTGGTTAAAAATATTGAGAAATAAGGTTGGGAAAGTACTGTAGCTACATTCATACTATATGAAAAAGCAGGCTAAAAAGTTTAGACCTCACATTCTGGGTGACTAGAAGCTATTGAACACCTTGGGGCAAGTGAAGGTCATGATTCAAAACTCTCTAGTCAGAAAAATAACCTGGCAGCAGATAAATCAATTGCTTAGAAGAGGAAATGCTGGATGCTATTGTAATATTAAAGCTAGAAGGAGATTTGAGAGAGCATGAACTATAGACTTGACAAAGACTAAATAGATACTTCTAGCTTTTATTTGGCTGTGCTTTACAATTTAAGAGTGGAATATATTCTCTAGGCCATGTGATTAAGACTCTATCAGAAATGAATAAAAGGATTTGGAGCATCAGAGACAACTCTTACCCTTCACTCCCCACCAAAAACAAGCAAACAAAAATTAAAAAAAAAAAATACTTTGGAGAACCTGTATATTAGGACAAATAGAAACTTATTTTATTTTTTTGCCAATACCAAGCAGTCCGAGGTAAATTGCAGAAAGGATTAAGTTCTTAGATTGGCAAAGTATTCTTCATTCCTACATAGAGCTGCATAAATACATATTATCTAATGTATTATAATATTTATAACAATCCCATATATTATCTATAATTTGCCCATTTTACATGTAAGAAAAGAGACTAAGCCACATTTAAGTGACTTGATTAATGATAAAAGAGGTCCAGAGATTGAGACTATACTGGTCAACATGGTGAAACCCTGTCTCTACTAAAAACACAAAAAATCAGCTGGACATGGTAGTGCGTGCCTGTAATCCCAGCTACTCAGGAGGCTGAGGCAGGAGAATTTCCTGAACCCAGGAGGCGGAGGTTGTGGTCAGCTGAGATTGCACCATTGCACTCCAACCTGGGTAACAAGAGCGAAACTCCATCTCAAAAAAAAAAAAAAAGCCACTTAACCTGAACAGCAACCTAAATCTTCTTATTACATCAATACAGCCTCTCAGCAACCAGTTACTGCAGAGAGTGAAAGAAGGGGAAAAAGGAATAAAGATTCTGAGTGAGGGAAATAAATATGTATAACACTTTGCATATTAAATTTTAAGGAGGGAGTATATTACTTTTATCTCAAAAAATGAGACAAGGCTGGCCATGGTGGTTCACGCCTGTAATCCCAGCACTTTGGGAGGCTGAGGTGGGCAGATCACAAGGTCAGGAGTTTGAGACCAGCCTTTCACCAACATGGTGAAACACTGTCTCTACTAAAAATACAAAAATTAGCTGGGCATGGTGGCGTGCACCTGTAGTTCCAGTTACTCGGGAGGCTGAGGCAAGAGAATCACTTGCACCCGGAGGCAAAGGCTGCAGTGAGGCCTAATCGCTCCACTGCACTCCAGCCTGTCCACAGAGTGAGACTCCATCTCAAAAAAAAAAAAAATTGATTGAGGACAACTAAAAATAAGAAGGATTTGAAGTTTAGGATTGAGAAATAAAATAAGTTCACATATGAAATTCACCAACTTACCTGCCAATTAATCATGAAAAGTAATTTGCAGAGTAAGAGGGTTCTTGATTTGAAGAGAACTGGAAACATGGGTAATATTTTCTAAGACAACTGTGATTAATTTAGAAATAATAAAGGGATTTTTTGAGCGGCAAGGTAGGCTCAGTTGAGATTCTAGCATGGCATTGCAAACTGGAAGCCTGCCATTCAAATACTACACTTTACAGCACACTCAGAACTGCCAGGCCTCCACATCTTGTTTTGCTGTCTTATATTTTGAACTAGTTGGCTTACTTTACAGATCTGGAGTTTCCACTTTCACATTAAAAAATCTAGCTTTGTGGCTTCTTTTGAAAAGAATAAAAAGGGAAGATACAGCAATTTGACTAGAGCTGAGTAGTAGCTGCTTAGAAGCTTTGACTGGAATCACCAACCTTGAGCCATAGCAGAATCTTGGGCCTCTCCCCAAAACTACTGAATTAGAATCTTTATTTTAACAATCTCCAGGTGTCTTATAAGTTTGAGAAATAGTGGTTTAGAGAAGTCTGCAAATAAAGAATGCTAGAACATATTAAAATTTTGTAAAATAAAACCAAAATGAAGGTAGTCAAATGCTATAAATTGGGCACTAAACTGGCCCTCTTTTTACGTTAATATTTCTTAAAAGATTTTTTGCATTCGTCACTTATAACAACCTTTTTTCTTGAAAATGTGTAATTTTTAAGTGGAATTTGGAATGTGCAATTATATTTAAGCCTAAATTCCATAATTGTTTTAAAAGATACCTATTTCAATAATATAGAAATAACAGTCAAAATATTTATATTGGCTGTAACAAATCCAAACTTAATTCGATTTCAGAATTTTCTGCAGAACCCATGTTGAAAAAATGTTAAAATAATTTTACTGTCTTTTCTCAGTTAATTCCTCTTAATTATCTATTGTGAAAGATGTTCAACTCTGGTGATTTTTTAGGGAAGTTGAATTGTTTTATTTTGTTTTAGTAACCAGTTGGCACTTAAAACATAAAATAGCCCATTTGTTGATGGCCTACAAATACTTTCTCCTTACTAGAAAGATGTGCTACCAACTGGAGAAGCTATTACTCTAATTTGAATTTTGGTCACCTTGGCTGATAAGACTGCTGCCTGCATTTGCTCCTAAATTTACTAGTGAATTGTTGACTGTAATTTCAATGCTAATTGTTGCTTCAGGTTTTCAAATAGCTCAGCAGTAAGACGTTAATGATTAATCATGCCTTAAGAAGGGCTGATAAGAGAATGAGATTACAATCTTGTACAGATTTTAGCTAAAAAATTAAAGCGTAAATTAAATTTTCCCTTAGATAGAAAATACCTGCTTGGGGAGCCAATACAATGAAAAACTTCATTCACTTTTAAATCTTCTTTTTCCTGTTTTATAGATATTCAGAGTATCAGAGGGCTAGCAGTGGATTGGGTGTCACGTAATTTATACTGGATTAGCTCAGAATTTGATGAAACGCAAATTAATGTGGCAAGGCTAGACGGCTCTTTGAAAACCTCAATTATCCATGGAATCGATAAGCCACAGTGTCTTGCAGCTCACCCAGTCAGGGGGTAAAGTATGATTATTTTTTTAAGTTTTTCCAAAATTTCATAGATCTTTGCTCTTTGCTCTGATTTTATATAAAACATTGCTTAATTCAGAGGACACATATATAATAGCCATAGAGTCAAAAAAAATGTGAATATGGACACTATAAAAGAGATTCCTGGATAGAGTTTTGTTATCTGGAGATTATATATATCCTACACCAACATATATATCTGTGACATATGTAAGATCTCATTAATTTATGCTTCTGAGAAATCACAGTTCTGAATAAAAAGAGATGTAAGAGAAACTGGTTGATTTCATTTTGAAAGCCAGTGGTTAATAATGTATGTACTGCATGTTGGTATTATGGCATCAGTTTCTCCAGTCTTTTGGTTAGGCATCTTTTACCCTTAAGTGAGCTTGCATAGGGCTAAAAGAGATTCTTTTTAGTGCTTTCAACAGGAATAGTAGAAGTGAGTTGTTTCCCTCTATGGCATCTGATTTTTTCACAGCCAAGAGGATTTTATCTTGATGAATTACTTAAAAAGGAAAATAATTTACTGTAGTCTTAGCTAAATATTCAGTCTTGAATATAGCAGAAAAAGGAAGTGAGATATTTTTTCTTCACTGACAGGAAAAAGCAACAGTGATGCTTTTCTCTCAGGCAAATATGGTTATTGCCAGGAAATGGCTGAACAATTTTGAATTTTTCTTAAGAGAAATAATCCTGAGTCAAGAATATATTCTGATGTTTACTTTGTTTTTAGTGTATATTTCTACTCACTGAGTAGGTGTACATCTAATATTTTCAATCCATATCTCTTTTGAATTAAGAAAACTCTACTGGACTGATGGAAACACAATTAACATGGCAAATATGGATGGCAGTAATAGCAAGATTCTGTTTCAGAATCAGAAGGAGCCAGTTGGTAAGTATTATTTTAATAATCACCAAGTTTTCATTGTGACAAACCTGCACTTGTACAGTATACCTTTGATCTAGATTCTGAAAGAAAATTTTAAAGATTAGTAAAATAAGTAAATTCAGGAATTGATCACTTTCATTGAATCCATTGGGTTTATATTAGATTTATTAGTCAGGCTTCTCTAAAGGGACAGAACTAATAGGATAAATGAACATACGAAGTGTAGTTTATTAGGAGAATTGACTCACAGGATCACAAGGTGAAGTCTCAAAATAGGCCATCTGCACGTTGGGGAGCCTGGAAGCCAGTCTGAGTCCCAAAACCTCAAAGGTGAGAAAGCCAACAGTACAATCTTCACTCTGTAGCCAAAGGCCTGAGAGCCCCTGGCAAATCACTGGTGTAAGTTCAAGAGTCCAAAAGCTGATGAACTTGAAGTGTGAGGTTCAAGGGCAGGAAGCATCCAGCATGGGAGAAAGATGGAGTCCAGAAGACTCACCAAGTCTGCTCTTTCCATGTCTGCTTTTATGCTAGCAGCTGATTAGATGGTGCCCATCCAGAATGAGGGTGGCCTGTTTCTCCCAATCCACTGACTCACATGTTCATCTCCTTTGACAGACACACCCAGGAACAATACTTTATATCCTGCAATCCAAACAAGTTGACACTCAGTATTAACCATCACATTAGGCAAGGAGGAAACATTCTTTATCTGGATAGGTAGATATATTTTTTAACATAATAATTTTTGCAATGTATTAAATAATGAAGTTATGTTAATTTAATGCAATCAATAAATCTCTTATTTTTACTGGTGAAATATCAGATACAATGCTACAGTGGTACTGTAACTACTGAGTCTTTTCCTGATTATCATTATTGTGTCACTACCGATAATTACAAGAATTTGGGTTTCAATGTTTAATATTTAGTCTTCATTCATTCTGCAATGTGTTAATTTAGTTTCTTATGCTACCTTTGCCAACCATTGCAAATCATCAAATATAGCATGATGACACTGACAGAGAACCTTGACTTGTTCCCAAGAAACATCTTTGAAAATATCAAGTATAAAATTTTTCTTAGAATATAGTATTTAACCCATTCGCATGTAGATATATATATATATTGATATTTTAATACTGTTTTGAACCTTAATCACTTTTTCCTCATTTTCTTGCATATCTTTGAGAAGCAAAAATTGATAAGGCCTATTTGTCACTTCAAAATAACTTTTAAAAAATTTAGTAAAACTTAATTTTGATAGTATCATAATGAAGATCCAAATGATAGGATATATAACAGAAAAATCATCATTTTTCTTCAATTCAATTATGTATTTTTTGCATCTGGAGAAAAGAATCAATATGTCATAAAGCTTTTTGACAATTTTGTCTTAGTTTTAGAAATTTAGGACTGCTTGAAGTAGCACATTTTTAATAGTGATAATTCAATAAAGCTATAGTTTCACTATGATTTGCAATAAATAATTCTATTCATGTTGTCTATAGAATAAACCTCTGATATAAAATGATAGTCTTAACAGCTCTTTTCTTTAGACTGTTTGTTCTAAGATTTTTACATAATTGAAATTCAGGGTTGTATTAGAAATTAAAGGCAAATTGAAACGCTAATACTTCTATGTGGAAGATGATGGAACAAAAGAAACAAGGAGTTCTACAAGATTAGGACCCATTCAAAGATTTAATTCAGACTAAAGCGATTCAGTTGGTACTTATCTGGAATTGTTCAGAATATGTAATATTGAAAAATGAATATGATAGAAATAGCATAAGCAAATCAAGTACTTACATCGTAATTGGTAGTCATAGTTTACACCAAAATGTTAATTTATATGCTTATTTGTATAATGTTGAAAACCTTATTTTTTCTAATACAAAATATCCAGTTTCCTACTCAAAATATTTTTTTAAAAGGGCCTAACAGCTTATAACTAAAAAATTATTTTTGAGAAGTGGTAGTGTTACTTGTTCACAATGTATAGTTGGCCCCTCAGATGTTGTGTACCAAGTGATATTTTTAACTGCATAAGGATGATGATTCAACATTCAATAATATATATAAGACGTCTACTTTATTCAGCTATTACTGTATTTGAAAAGTTTTTAAAAATAAATTTTCAAAATGACGCTTCAAAAAAAGTTTGATTTGTACAAAACGTACTATTTTAGCATAACTGACTATACCTTAAATTATATTGAATATGGCTATAAGTCAAACATTCGTTTATTCAATAAACAGATTTTTATTGAGTATCAGATTTTACACTAGGCCTGTGGATAAAAATTTGACAGCGTCCTTTTCCTTAAGAGATACAGGAACCTAAATTATTTGAGATTCTATTAAGTAAATTTAACTCTGTGCCCTTGAGCAAATTGCTGTTAGCTTGGTCTGCTTGGTTTTCTTATTCATATAATCAAGACGAAATGTCTTTTTTTATAAAGTTCTCATGGGAACTGAATGAGAAAAATTTATGAGGCAAAACATCTGGCCCTTAATAATAGAAACTGTCAGTAGTAGCAGTAGTATGTGCATTAGATCCAATAGTGTGGAATTCAAATGATCTGACTGACTGTGGTATTAAGACTATAAGTGAGATTAGTGAAGAACAAACAATAGATTCCACAGAAATGTAGCAGAAGAAATATATGTAACCAAGTGGGCATCTGAAATGAGCAAATGTTTATACAAATGCGGGGATTTAACTCTGTACTGCTATGCTGCTCATGCTAAGAGGCAAACAAGTTTGAGGTTAAGTGCCTTCTGGTAACTTTCCACTTCAGCTTGCTATTTCTGATAAGCAGGTGCTAAGATTATAGTCTCCCCAATGTTTAATGAAAAGTAGTATTGTCCCTGTATAAACGTAATGCCTTTTTTTTTTTTTTACTTTTAAAGTATTTCCAAATTCTGGATGCTCTGCAGCAATTCCCCAGCCTGTGATACGCTGTCACACCTCTATCTACCCCAGACATCCTTATTTTAGAGACCCCGAGGAAGAAAATCAGCAGATGAAGTCTTTCCTGCCCCTGTTCTCTGCCATTTCCCTACCATGAGCAACGCTGGTAGATTCCTAATATCTCCTCTGGTAACATTCACCATTTGAATTTACCAGTCCAAATTAAGTGAATTAAATTGTTCAAAGTCGAAGTACAAGAAGAAAAAGAAAATTCAGAAACCCAGAAATTAGGGCCAATATATATAGCAATTTTCACATAAATATAAAACATTCTTTTAGCTGTGTTTCAAGGAAAACGTGGTTGGGGAAAAATGTTATTTGGGGAACCAAGCAAATCTGGAGATGAATCACTGATTTGATGCTTACTAACTCTGTGACTTTCAACAAATCTCTTAGCTTTTCTAAGGCACAGTTGCATTATCTATAAATGGAGATAGTATCTAATTTTGTGGTTATTTTTAGAATTAATGGCTCATATGCAATATCTCTTGTTCTAGCAGTTCCATACTTACATACTCTAGAGAGTTTCTATATATGTGTTCAACAAAGTACATTAAATGATAACATAAAACAAATTTTAGAAGAGCTTACATTTTCATTAAAATAGTAATGAGTAAATAAATACATTTCACTGCTAAATATCATATATACATACAGATGTATGTGTGTCTACATACACATATATACATACACACATACATACATACATACATACATACATACATACATACATACATACATATGTAGGGAGGCTCAAACATTCCCTTTGAAGGTTTGAGTCCAAGTCTGCTGAAATAAATTGATAATAGATTAATAGAAAAAAAGGCATACAAACATATTAACAGGCACTTGGACACAGGAGTCCTGCAAATATAAAACTCCAAAAAGAGCCATGTGACCAGGCGTGGTGGCTCATGGATGCAATCCCAGCACTTTGGGAGGCTGAGGAGGGTGGATCACCTGAAGTCAGGAGTTTGAGACCACTCTGGCCATCATGGTGAAACTCCATCTCTACTAAAAATACATAAAAATTAGCCGAGAATGGTAGCAGGTGCCTGTAATCCGAGTTACTCAGGAGGCTGAGGCAGGAGAATTGCTTGAACCCGGGAGGTGGAGGTTGCAGTGAGCCAAGATCCAGCCTGAGCAACAACAGCAAAACTCCATTTCATGAATGAATGAATGAATGAATGAATGAATGAAAGACAGAGATGTGACTGAAGTTTTTATACCGTACAGAAAGGAATAGAAACTGGGAGCATGACAGTAGATTATAGAAGGGAAAGGAGAGAAAATATGTGGCAAGCAACGGTTATCTTTTTGCAGGTGAAACCTCACAGGTGGCAGCCCTTAAAAATAATAGATGGGAGCCTGTGGTAAAAGTTTCTCTGTCAGACCTGTGATAATGTCAGATGTTTAGTTTCCTTTTCCCGTGAGTTAGGTTTTTCCTGTCTCCGTATAATGCAGATAAGAAAGCCTCAGAGAAATCTCTTACATCTGTGTTTTACTTCACTAATGTAGATTTTCTCAACGAATGCAAGTCTTCCCTACAAAGGACAGCTTTTCGGAACTATTTCTTTGTCTACAGCCCCTCTGACTAGTTATTTCAACATAGGCCAAAGAAGTTTATTTTGGAGTGGCAATTTTCGTTTCCTTCACATACATCTCAAAACCATGGAGAAAAGTTATTAGCAGAATGTTGCTTACATACTTACAGTATGATACTATTTGTATTATTTCAAGGTGAAACACAAAATATTAATATATGTTGTTTCTGGATATACTTAAAAACTTTAGAAATAAGTGAACTGGAAATCAACACACCAATTTTATAATAGCAGTTGATTTGGGAAAGGATCAATAATGACATCTGAAAGAGAACTTTCATCTTTGTCAAAGGTAATTTTAACAGTATTAGTAAAATTTAGTTCATGTTTAATAAAAGGATTCAAATTAAGTTTAAGGAAATATTAGTAATATTCAATTCTGGGTGGTGAATTCCTGAGCTTATTTTCACCTTCTTTCCTGAGTT